ACTAAGCAAACAGAAGCGTGTAGAAATGCAGTAGAAGTTTAATTGTGGAGTTTCAGTTCTTAAAGAAAAACATGTGGAACTGATCCGTCAGCCAGTGTCTATATTACTGTCAGCCAGCCTTTGCATTATTTATGGACTCAGTGGGCTGGGAAGGGCAATACCCTCCATGGACTCTAAATCTTTCTGAAGTAACTCATACTTATCAAAATGTGTATTTAAAATAAAGCCAGCTTCCCAGAATTGCGGAGTCCTTTTCCAGATGAACATTGTGTCCGACAACGAACAGACAGTTCTAAAGAAGGCGGGCCAATGTCTCTGTGATGTATCTGAATTGATTAACTGGAGAGCCAAGGACACACACAAATGCACCTTTCAGTAAGACTAATCATTATATTAATAAGGGCAGAGAGTCTCTAAGATAAACACAGTCATACAAACCTCCTTGAAACTTTCATAAGAAAAATGTGACATGCATTCCTTTTTGAAAAGCTTTGCTATATCTTCTGACATACATTTTGTTCTCTATTTTTTTCCGTTTTCCTCACATTTGCAGTATAAATATAGAACTCCTGGAAATGAAAAAGAAAAAAAAAGAATCTTGTACTAGGAACACATAAGAAATGCTCACCTCTTGGTTAACGGCTTATAAAAAGAGCCAACCCCAAGATTAAGCATCTGTTTTACTTGACTTTTCAAAGGTTACGGAAGAGTAATTTGTTTTGCTTGCCAGTTGAAGGTTAGAGAGGAGCTCCACTATGTTTAATGTCAGTGTGCAAATCCAGAGAGCACATGAAATGGCTTTTGACATATTAAAGTTCACTTTTTACCAAGCCAGCCTGAATTACTGCTGCTGACTATAGTGCTGAAGCACCATGCCTGTTGACTGAGGTTACAGTGTGATCATCCTTTTACTTTAGTATATTACACAGCAATATAATATAAAATATAATATCATAATTTCAGTAGGTCTAATTCAACTACCAAAGCCACTGGCTTTATTTTCAGTATAAATTAACTATTGTTAGTTTTCGAATGGGTTCAGAGAGTGAGGATAACTTCTCAGACGTCAGCACAAGATATGATGAGTTAAATAAAAAAAACATTTTTAATGTCAGTTGATTTGTCAAACATTTCCAATATCTGTAATATGCATGGTATGCACCTGTACCATCAGGTGCTTAAACATAATAAAACAAATAAGCCACTCTTTCACGGTCGTAAGTAGGAAACGTTAGGAATGTTTTGGCCACATAATGTCCAACTAATTAGAAAAGGTTCAATTGATGATGATCCCATCGGGATTCATTTACTGAAGGTGGGAAAAAAACTGATCCATGCTGGAAATGTCTGACTGCCTGTCTCACATGGAAGCCTTAGGTACCTTGTGCAGTTGGCCTTAATTTCCCACACAATTACTCAGCTAAATGATTTGAGTGATTTGTCTGCAACCACAGGGCTTGTGTACTTATGGGCACCCCTGTATGCTCACATGTAGGTGTGAGGAGCTCATAGTGGGGGAGTATGAATTTCTCTGCATGAGAGGGTAAAGGTTTCAGATCATTAAAGGGGCAAAGCCTGGACATACTTCATTTGCCAAGACCACAGCATGAGATGCTGTGATCTTCCAAGTGCTATCCTTCAGATTAGACACTACACTGAAATTCTGTCTGCTGTCTCAACTTCAAAGGCCCCAGGGCAGATGTAGCAAGACGAGAGAGTGGTTACGCACAATCCCTGGTCAAATGTCTCCCAAGACCTATTATTTCCTGTGCCTGAAAAAGAGAAGTTGGAATCGTATTGTTAAGCCCACAAGAGCATCGCCCGCTCCAAAAGTATTGTAAAGGTGGTTCAATCATTTCTGAATCTTTGGAAGTTCCTGTGAAAAAGTGCATCGGGCTCATTTGGATTCATTGGTTGGATTAGTAATGAAACTGTGCCCTGCTTCTTCACCCTCTGCGTTATCTAGCTGGGATAACTTACACTAGCAGTGAGGAACAGTGTGGCTATTCCTCTAATGTAGCACATGCAGTCCAAATATCAGGGCTGCTCACACAAGGAAGAAGGATCTGTTTTTTGATATTATGAAGCCATGTGAAAGTATAGGTATTTTTTCTTTTATTTGAAAATTCTTTAGGAACCTCATGTGTTGCTCGGGCAAGTCTGTCAAGAGATATATCCTGATGATATTACCTTTCTTTGTGTACTGTATGTGCACCATTTCCGCTTTGACGTGGATTTACAGTAGCTTATTGTTTAGAGTGAGCTGTGGTACCTCAGCTCCTCACCAGCACATCCCGGGTTCAATCCCAGGTAGGGGCAAGTGCTAATTCGTTCCAGACGGCTCCCAGGTCCACTCAGCCTGCTTTCCAAATAGTCCTTCTGGGGGTAATAGGCCCACATCACCTCTACCTCCACTGTTGGATGGTTGAGGAAAAATGGTGGCCCATTCCCCTCTATGTCCTGAAAAGTGACCTACTGTAACTATCATTGTTTAGAGAGTTACTTCCTTTGTTGTAGTTGTGCTCTAGACTCCAGTCCAACAATGTGCACAACATTCTAACAGAACCTGACTGGACCCTGTCAATTCTAAAGCAAAATGTATACAGTGTGCATCAATTCAAGTATAAATCATTCCCTTCTGGAGCAGCTATGCTCAGAAAGTGGTGTGCAAAAGAGAAGAGCTCACTGTAACTATCTAGGTACAGTATGTGTAGACAGATTGGTATTCTGCTGCTGTATGATATTTACTTTCTTGGGAATGTATATTTTTTAACCTCTGTATAATTAGAGTGGCTGAGTCTGTGCAAGATCACATTCTAGATCAGAGTTTGGTACTTTCAGGAAGAGCAATAGTCTACAGCCCACCAAAACAACAAACACATTTACATTTTTAAATTATTTAAAATTGGGCTCCAGATTGCAAACTTTTGGACATCTGAATCAGATTTAAATCACCTGTGAATCCTGACAATTTTAAAACAAATATTTCATTTTATATTAATAGGTGTATAACTGTTCATTAAATATTAGGTCTATGAGTAAAATAATTTCTGGAAGAATTTAGTCTGAAAACATAGAAATGTAACTGTAAATTAATTTACTGTTATTTAACTGTGCTTTTAATTTCTCAAACAAATAATTTAATTGCATTTTTTAAATCAAAGTATACAGAAGATTGCAGACATGTTGGAATTCACTTGATTAAAATAACTGTAGGAAGATACTGTAAATATAAAATCACATTTTATATTTATACTGTATATATAATAATAACACATTTTAAATAAAATTAAACTTTAAAAACTTACATTGGATATCGGTTTACAGGAAATACATCATTTATTTGCTTTGAGGTATTATTGCATAACTCACCAGAAACAGCAAATAATTGATCTATTGTATTTCTAGGCTGCACAGTTAGTCAGTTTTTTCTTTTGCCAGAGCTGCATAACGCTTTTATGTTTAAGCTTGGTGAAGAGTATGTCTAGCGATATCATTTACAATACGCAGTTTCCATTATGAAATCCACTGTGGTTCTCTAGTTTTCAAAAAGCAAATTACAGCTGTTTTTGCTATAAGTAAAGAAATGTACTCTTGTATTTGTTTTTCTGTACAGCTATGTCTGTTTTTTGTACTATGGAAAAAAAATAACGACATTAGAAGTTTGGAAGAAAGCCCAAGATTGTTTTTTTTCCGATTTCATATAAAGGTTCTATCAGTCTAAATCTCCAGACTTCATTATTTTTCATCCACGCGTTACTAGAAAGCTGCCCATACCCGGTACAAATCAAGCTGAAGTCTATCCTGGAAGGGTGATTTGGAAACAGACTTTAACAGAAATCAGCCAGCGTGTCTTTGGAAGGTGGGAGGGAACCACAGCACCTGGAGAAAAATGGCACAGACCCTGGGAGAACATGCAGGGTCCACCCAGAAGGTTCTGTGTCCAAAAAATTAACCCAGCGCCCAAACCAATGTGAGGTTGTACTCTGCCTCCACCATAGCACAGCGCAGCTCTGAGACCGATCAAACTCTGTGTGAAACATTTTAACTGGTCTGATTGTTTTCATGATGCATTCTTACTGGTCCCACAGTTCTTCCACTTCATTCGCATTTCACCTTTACATACCAACATACAACTTCATGAGCCCAGGCAGAAGAAAGGTCTTCAGTGCACGTGGAAATCCAGGACACAGAATTTCACGCTTAGCTTTGCGAACACAGTATTTTCTTTTTATGGTAATCTAGGTAATGTAAATTCCAGTTTTTGGTAATCTAGGGAAAAAAACAGTCCTCAAACACTGATATAGCTATCTAACCCAGAGTTGCGGGGAAGCCTGCACCTATACTGGCCAGCAATGAGCAAAAGGCAGGGCACACACAGACACAGACACAAACACACACGCACTCACACCCGGCTCGATTTTCCCGGAAGCCAATTAACCTACCAGTATGTTTTTGGACTGTGGGAGTAAACCAGACGACCCAGAGGACACCCACGTAAACACAGGTGAGCACATACAAACCCCATGCAGAGAGTAGCACCCCAAGTCAGCCCCAGCACTGTGAGGTAGCAATGCTATCCCTAGGCGTGTCTGTCTGTCCTCCGATGGACTGGTGTCTTGTCTAGGGTGTACTCTGCCTCCACTCACTGCTTGTCATGGCTGGTGCCAGTTCCCCTGCTACCATAAATTGGATAAAGTAGTTTGAAGACTGATGGATGGATAAACTTTTGAAATCAGCAGAACGTTGCTTTTACTATACATCCTATGGAAATTCAGCATTTTAAAGAGTTTTCCTTATTGCGGAAATGTAAAATCCTTTACTGACTACTGTACACACAGAAACGAGTGTTGATTTGCAAAGCGGCTGACATGATACACAGTGTGTTGCCCCGGGCTGCATGATAAATGAAACGGAAAACGCCTCTCCTGCATGAACAGAAGATGTGGCAATATCCGTAGATCTGGGGTGTGCTGTCCCTTTAAGGGAGGAGTGAACACGGCTACGTCTTGAGTGGTGGTGCTGTTTTGCTAACAGTATTGGACCAGAGCCTTCAACCCCTTCACTGAATCTTAGACGAGGGGCTTGCAGACTTAAAAAAAACGACCATAAAGTTATTCGACTGCCTGTCTGAGTGAGTGGGAAGAGGGAACGAGAGAGAGAGAAACAGCAGGAACAGCCGAGAGAGAGAAAGAGAGAGAGAGGCGCACATTCAAGGCACAGACAGACCAGACACGACATTTTCAGCAAGTGGGAGAAAACAGAGCAGGCTGCAAAGAAAACACTCGGATCCGTGGATTACTGTAAAATAATAGTGCAAAAAAACAGATTCGCTAGAGACAAGAATCGTCCGCGGAACAATCGTGGTGGACGAGCGCTTACGGATTTTTGAAAACAAAAACCCAAACGCAACCAAACAGACCACAGAAGCCGGGATTCAAAAATGAGAAGGTCTCCTAATCGGATTTAGTAGAAGGTAAGGCGGAAACGAGGCGCTTTTAAAGGGCTAGTGAGCCTTTTTACCCCTCCCCTGTCGGATAAGTCGCGGATCAAGACATTATTTACAGAGCCACTACACTTGTTTTCTGCACTAATTGTAATTGAAGGATGCTGTGCGGTCTACAGTAACTGGAGAAAGTAGAAGCAATAACCAGTCCCGTGAGTTCAGCGTACAATAGCTTGCATACTTTCCCGTCTTGGCTAATGCCTCTTTATGGGTTTTTTTTTCTTCCTTGATGTAAAAATCGCATATAATCCAGATATTCCGACTGGTGTCACTGATTTAAAGCAAGCAAGCGGATTTCGTGCAGACTAAGCGCATGGTTTTAATCGAGGTAGCCTAGATTATTATGAAATCAAACACCACTAGCTTCACTCAGACGGTTTCTGTTGTGTGAAAAGTTGGCGTTTTGGGGGGGGGGGAGGAGGAGATGGTAGTCTCTGTTCCCGAGAACTATGCCCGTCTGAGTGCAGTTGATTTCTCCCTGCTCATCTTTGATACGGGGTTGATCCATCCATTACGGTTGAATGATGGTAAATATCGCGTCTAACCCCTATGGTGTTGGCCGTAAAAGTCCTGTAGCTAACCCGCCCGTCCTGTGTGCAGGTGATTGAGTTTAGAATAAGGGGGACTTCCCGTCTGTGTGCTGAGCCTGGTGTTGTCGGCGCAATATTGTTTCTCGTTTGCTTTGATGGAATTTCATTGTGTGACGTGCGCGTAGCGCTCACCGCACCGGCGGCGTTGTCGCCAGAATAAACAAGGTATGGGGGTTTCTAACTAAACGCCTAATACACCCGACTCTTGAAAGTTTTCTTTTACTAACTTGAATTAAAAGAAAGTGGTATTTCGTGGGGCGTTTTTCCCCCCCCACTGACGTTTTACTTTTTAAAATCTAGCTAGTGGTGTAGTTTTCAGTTGTAAATGGTTGGGCCTTCATGCGATGATAATATTAAGTTTAATCAAGTATTTACAGTGATGATTGATTTATGTGTTGACTAATGAAACGGTTTGATAGCGCCATCTCCGATGGGGGTAATTGCTCTCATCTGTAGGTACGTACCAGCCTGCAGATTTGTTAATATTACATCATTTTTGGGGATGTGCTTCGTAATACTGGGCCATCTGTGAATGCTTTAAAAATTATGAAGAATGGTGCTCTTAATTAAAACATACTAGTTTGTTCACAAAATTGGACTGGTTCCTAAACCATCACAGACAAACTTCACCGCTTCAGCTAAACCGATATGATGAGAAGACCTGATTATTCGTTTTACATGTCTGTTCGATATAAAGTGGCATATCGCTTTTTTAAAATAAAGTGAAGACATGCGTGTTTTCACAATAGAATGTAATGCATTGATTCAAATCAATGATCAGGTAACTCTTTACCACTGCTTTTACAGACCGCATTTGGCACTAATTGTGGCCCAACTAATGTTATTTCTAGTTAACAGTCCTAGGGCTATAACTATTTCAGTCGTTACATTGCCATTACTTTCTGCTCCAAGTTGTAAAAGATAAAACTTGCTTGAGAGCAGTGATTTATGTTAATGCCAATACTGGACCTCCTGTAGTGCACTGATCTAGGACCGAAGAAGTGCTTCCCTGAGCAACTTTGCAGTCTATGCAGAAGGCCCTGGAATGTCAGTATGACCTATTCTCCTTTTGTATCTGTATCAAATGTGTAAGGGGGGAAAAAAAGCTGACCCATCGCTTTTCGTGCAAGAGATCATTGCTGCTTTTGAATTTAATCTCCCGGACACTTATTTTTTTCTTAATTAACGAAAGGGGCTGCACAGCATGACACATCTGGCTGGTTTTCTGCCCAGATCCCGTAGCTCCAGGTCTTCTTCTTCTGCGCAGTCAACTGTGTGGTCGATTTCTAAAGCCTGTCTGCTGCAATTGCTGTCGATCTTGCAAACATCAGATGTCTTCTTTGTGGCAGGCCTCGCAAAATAAAATCTTATGACCGTGCTCGAAAACATTCCATTTGCCAATCAAGGTTCAGCCTGATTGAACTATTGTGCTGTTTCTCAGTTCCAGGCGGCAAAAAAAAAAGACATTTGCATTTGGTCCAAAGAATAAGCAGTACAGACTTTAAACTCTTTGATACAATCTACAATCAAAGCTGATTTTTTCTCCCTGTTAAGACATATTGATCTGAAAGCCATCAGTGATATATCCGTTTGTAGTGTTTTAACTGCTGACAGGTGTGTCTGTAGTAAATCCTTGTCTTGGAGTTAGTTAGGTGCTGAATGATAGCTAGATACAACTGCTGTTGCAGCTAGCGACTTTAGAACTCTAAAACAAAGCCGTGTTTGTTTTGTTTTTCCTTGCATTGTGTTTAAAGAATGTTTCTGAGTTATTGTTTATGTTGAGAAATTTGTATTGAAGGTTGTAGTGTTATTTGTTTTTAAGGTGGTAGTTATGTTATTAAACAAATGTATGTTGTTTCCTGTTCGCTCAGGAAAGCTCAAGTAGCTTTTTAAAACGAAAACAAAAGCAATACCATAAAACACAGATTTTTGGGGTATTGTGGATTTTAGGAAGACCAATTGATTGGCTAAATAAAGGTCTCTCCCTTGAAAACAGAAAAAAATGGTCAATTTAATTGCTAGTGGCAAGATATTGCTTAAATCAGAGTTTGTAATGAGCAAAAAAATTGAATGATGGGTTCTTTTTGGTTTAAGAATGGTCTGGTTTTTCACTTGGTACTGACTTACAAAGAGCTTATATGATCACTTTTTAGTGGGTTCAGTGCCACTTTTAAAGTGTAGCCAAGACACCCCAGTCAATTGGACTTTAAGAGTCTAAATGAGCATTTAACTCCAGAACTTGCCATCAGTGAGTTTTGTGCCTCTCTATGACTTGTTAAATTTTAAATATTTCTTTAACATATTGGTTGTGTACAGCACAGTATGTTCTTCATGTTAAAGATATTATAGACCATATCTGAATGCTGTGCTTGGGCTTTATATTAAAGCACACAACCCTTTCCAATATTATTTTTCTTTGTATGCATTTCTGTATTTTTCTTTGGTTCTTGTTATGCAGCCAAAACAAATCAAAAACGTTTGAAGATAAATAAATTGTGTAAAATAGTCTGAATCCTAGAACAATTAATGAGTTAAACTACTAAACTATAACTGAATGACCGGTTTAATCCATGTTTAATTTCACCCTTATTTTAAACATAGACCGGGATTCTCCTTGTTCAAATAATGACAAACACTCAAGCCAACAGCAATTAATTTAGACTTAGTGAAAATCTGATCCATAAATAACTGCTCGGGAAGTAAAATCCCTTCTGATCAGATAAGTGGACTTACTAGGCATACACTTTTACTTTTTGAGCATTTAATGCTTTGTGCCCTATGCTGTATGTGTCCTTTAAATACAGAATAGGTGTCTGTAATGGCCCAATAGATGCCATATTTGCATAAAGAAGTCAGATGGGATAACAGCTGCTAACAAGGGTGGAGAACCCAGTCTACTGTCTACAGAAATTCTGAAATGCATGTAACCACAGTGTAACAGCCTTGGCAAGCACTCACTGTGTGCAAGGCTGTGCTTGTAAGGTAAACTGGTTTAGAAATTGCATTCCTCCTGTGTCACTGTGAAGGCAGAGATGTATCCTATGCTGTACTTGGCAGACAGTGTTGGCAAACACTGTTTTCATTATATGTTTCTAAACCTTACAGCCTTTGGCAGTTACAGGAAAACCATTATTATACTGACCTTCACTGACCACCTATTCTTCTGCTGAATTGCCAAGAAGCAAAACCTGAAGATTTAGAATTGTAGACATGACAAAGTGCCCTTCTTTTCAAAGTGTCTTTCTACATATCTCTCCTATCCTTGAGGGACATATTAACAGCCTCTTGAGACTGTCAAGAATGTTATGAAAGTGTGCAGTACAGTGGGATGCAAGCAATTATATTGCCTTAAAGCACGACAGTTTGTGGCTCCTGCTTAGAATTGGTGGATAGTACTCTACTGATGATGACACCCGATTCTAGACAGCCCCAAAGGTTCTCTTGGGGAGTTCCAGCTGAATTCCCTCTGGCACTATTCTCTACTTCTGGAATCCATACTGGAGCACACAGGCACTTCTGCACTGAAATCTAGCAATATGGGTGCCCAACAAGGCTGCCTTCCTTCTAAGAACAGATGAACAGCACAGCCCAGCTTTTTTTATTCCCAATCTTGGCTGCTTAACCAAAATACAGCCTGTTATCTGCAGGAGGGTGAATACATTTGTAATTTCACCTGGACACCGGGCCAAAGCCTTCTGAAGTTCAGCCGTCATCACATTGAAGTCACGTTTAAAAAATGATTCGCACCCCAACTGTGTATGTGTGATTATCCCACATTGGTGATATTCTGAGAGGTGTTACATGCCCACTGTTGCAAAAACTGAATTAATGGGGAAGCCAAGCTTGTAAAAAAAAAATCTATTTGCTATTAGCCGATTGGAAATCGGGCATAGTGTGTGTATCATGAGAGGTCTTTGAAGGAAGGAAAGGCCGGAGTCTGTTAAGCAGCCGCTGCAGTCTTGTTGGTTAATGTAATGGAAAGTTAAATTACTGCACTTGTCAGTGTGGGTAATTGTACTTAGAACTGAACGCAGCCTTTACATAATTTATATATAGGACAATCCTACTCCTACACTGTTTTTTTTTTTCTTGGCTGAAATTAAAATCCTTAATTGAGGTGATGTGGGTAGAGCTTCTCTTCGGGGGGGAGGGGAGGAGGGAGAGGAAATACTGGGCCTGTGGGGGGTGCTGATTTTTCTGTAAAGGGTGAATTACTGTGGCGGGCAGCAGCCTAAATGGCCTGTCTTATTAATGTGCCATGTGCCGTTTCGCTCAGGCTGAGGATTGTGATGAGGAGCATGTGTTGTCCCTCGGGGAAGTGGGCTCCCCCCCTCTCTTACTGCTCAGCCAGGCTGAAAAGTTCCATTACAGCTACAGTGG